CAGGCGAGTAGGCAGGACTGGCGGAAGGAGTGACACTAAGTGTCACCAAGACCCCCCAATGGATGGATCGACACTCCAAAAAACCACCAATTATAGGTGGAAAATAGGCCCCTGGAAGACCATATAACATCCTCCACAAGTTTTCACAGCTGGTGCCATCCAGTTCCATAATATCATTTCAGGGAGTCCTACTCGAAATTGCTAATGCATATTTTTTTTCCGGGACGTTCCACCCGAGCGGGGGTTCCGTCCGAGTTTTCTACCTGGTGAATTGGCTGTCGTTGACTTCGTGCTGACAAGTCTCCAGCAAATCTCACGATGAGCCCAAGCTGATTCCCCACTCCAGAGGACAAACGAGCATCGACTGCAGCCTGCCCCGCTGGAAAGGGAAGCAAATGGAATCTATGCCTACATTGAACCCATTGGCTAAGTACTTGCATGCATACAATTGCAGTATAAACATGCATGAAGACCAACAAAAATTGCTGAACTCTTCAAGCATGCTCTCCGATCGAAACCAACAAAAACCATTTATTTCATTATTTCACTGGCCCTGAACAAACACAGGGTCGCCTTGGGTCGCTTGGATCGCCTTGGGTCGGTCAATTCGCATGGCTCCTATAGGTCCACCGCTTCTGAAAGAGCTCACGGATCCCATGTCATGTGTGTGTGGGCACACAACAACCGCGCCGAAACCTGGCCGCCAGTGATGCTGGCGTTTTCACCCCGGAGTTGCCGCACGAAATCGAACTCGTGCGAGTCGTCGCGCGGGGAAATCGGGCTCGTCGCGTGGGCCGGGCTTCTGTTTCAATACTCCAAACAGACGAGTCCGAGATGCCCTGCCTGGAAGTCTGGCAGTGGAATGGAGTACATCGAGGAAGCCATCTGGGTGAAATTCATGTTCAGGTCCGTCAAAAAGATCCGTGCACGAGCCACACCACGTGCCAAAGGTACCAAACCTCCCTCCTGGCCGAAGTCATAGGGTTGAAAATCACAAGGTGAACACTTCACAGCAAGTGCTCCAAATGGGTTGTGTATTGTCTATATAGTGAGATTCCCTGGCCCTGGACCAAAGCTGATTTCGAGGTTCTCCCTATTCCAAAGTTCACACCCACATCCACCTAGGTGGGAACAAAACCACAAATCCAACTAAACTCAGTTCTTTGGAGCTTCTCCCTTTTTGGATCCTTTCTGACACCTCCACGACCTGTGTCTTTCTCCTATTCTTGTCCAAGCTTCCATGACCACGGTCCGTGGGTCAGTGGAAGCGATCTCCGCGAGGGCCGTTTGGAAGGACCACAACACCGCCGCCTCGTTCGCGCTCCTCGGTCGCTCAGCTCGGAGCGAGGAGGACGGACGGACGGAGGGACGACTGCGCTGAGAGGAAACTCCTGGAGCCAAAACGGAACAGATGATAACAGTTTCTTCAGCAAATTTTTTTTGAGCTCTTCAATGTCTTCTTTCGGGATGGGAAGGGACGGTCTCTTTCTCGAATTTGGTGAACGTTCCAGGGGACGAAAGATCCGCATGACTGGACAAATCTGGACACATTTCTCAGCTTTTGATGGTTTTGTCGAAAAGAGCCAGCAAAACGGCGTTGTTCGACAGGAGTCAGGGGGTGTTCGACTTCTATGTTGCGGCCAAAGAGACAGTTGAACGGGCCGTGTTTGACCCGAAAAAATAAAGCAAACAGATAAAAATGGATTGAATTCCAAGAGCAGCATACAGCACCTGTGGCGCAACCACATCATAGGAGATGAGAAATTCGATAACCTCTGCATTAAAGCCTGGACAGAAATGCTGCTCATCCATGGTCAAACAGTTGTCCAGCTCGTCGCAATTCTTGCCGAAGGGTTTGGGACAGCTGGTCTGATCAGAGGTTTCCTTTGCACATCCACATGTTAGGGGGCAAAAGAATTCCACTGTCTTGAACTCCCAGTCGAACTTGTTGCTCCATCTGAAGCACCCACCCAGCGACATGTTCTGCGAAGACAAGTGCGCCAGAAAGCCGCAGCCATGGTCCTCCATGGCCTGTGCCAAGATGAGGGCCTCTTCTTGTTCTTCAAGAGCATCCGACTCAACTTCTCCATAGGATCTGATCGTCTTGATCCATGCTTTCCATGGGCCAAAGTTGCGAAGGGTCACAGCATCCTTCTCCAGACAGACCCCACCTCGCTGGAAAAGAACGAACGGAGAAGGAAGGCAAGATGGCCATGGCCGGGCGGAGATGGCTAAAGGAACGACTGTGAAAAAAGAACAACACTCCTATCATAGTATATCATAGTGCTTTTGGATTCTCATAGTGTCAGTGCTATTGGCGCCTATCATAGTGTTTCTCCCTATGAATCCTTCACTTCACTTCTTCCCTATCATTCTAAATATTGTGCAGGTTTTGAAGAGCAAAGGAGCGAAACAATTCTTGTGCTTGTGGTTCTGTGGCTTGTGAGAATGGTGAAAGATGGTGTGAGAATGGTAAAATATTCAAGAAAAAGGTTTGTTTCTTGCTGCATTTCAAGGAGCCTTCTTGATATTCCTCAAATGCATCAACGTGTCGACATTCTCCATCAAGATACGGACAGCCTTGTACATTAATGAATTCTCCACCGGGATTGTTGCAACCACATGTTTCCGTGCACAGCATCCGTGTAGACCACCCTTTACCTCGGCTCAAACGCTACGCTAAAACGCCCCGCGTGGACTCCACAGACCGATCGGAAGACTATACATGAAGCCTTTAGAATTCAACAAGCCGCAACAACCATGAGAATGCTGTTCGACCATGAGAATGCTGTAAGCAAGCTCTAGTCAGAAAATCCACCTCCACAATAACCAAAAGGGCGCCCCTGAACTAACAAAGACCGATCGTACCAGCTGGCAGGCAACTCAAATCCTGATACTGCTAAAACCATGCTGCCACCATCCACTGCAAACTCAGGCATTTTGGTGATGGAGCTGCAGTAGGACACAGCATCTGCGCAGGACTGAATGCTCTCGTTGCCCAAGAAGTACCCTCAGGTCATTTATTTTCTTTTTTGGTGTGTGTGTGTGTCAAGCTACGTAACATTCTTTCCTTCAAATCCCTGAAATCACACCACACGGCGCAGCTTCACCAAATCCAACACTGACAGGGACCCAAACAAAGGATAACAAAGGAGTAGTCTAGTTTTAAAAACAAGGCTACGTCGTCGTTAGCGGCTGTGGGTATTTTGCACAGCTCTCGATCAATATGTTGGCTGGTAAGATGGAGAGATGGAACCATGTTCATTTCGGTCAGAAGTCACAAAGCTATGGATGGGCGAAAACCTCATGGATCACTGATCACGTCACTGAAACCCCGCAAACCACCCCTAAACGCCACCTGGTCACCAAAAGTTGACAAAAACGAGCGACAATGAGTAAAACGTAGCAAAATACCCACAGCTGCTAACAACGACGTGGCCAACACAAGTAAACAAATAAGAGAAAACACATGGCCAAAAAAACAACACGACTCTCACTTCTTCAGTCTGTTCTTTCTTCTCGATGCTTTCCCAGGCACTCAGGTGGTTCAGCCAGGGCTCACTGGTGATCATGTCTTCGCAGTCCTCATTGTGCTCTTCGATCAAATCATCCAAGTCGGTACCGTCGAGGTCGCTGAGCACCGTCACGTCGCTGACCCAAACGCCAAATTGAGCGCGGTCAATGGACAAGCCGTAGCCGATGGTCTCGCCCTCGACAATCGCATCGGTCCTTGAGATGCCCGAGTGCCAAGAGTGCCGGTTGGTTGGGGGAAGCAGCTTTGGGTGAGGAAAATCATCTCTCCTCAAAAAAGCATTGTGTTTTTTTGTAAGAAGCAAATATTGGGAATTTTGAAGCGGATCTACTGAACTATGATATGAGGAGCGGTCAAAACTCCTGGTTCTTCTTCCACCAAAAACGGAAGATATCGGTTTTGAGGTGGACCTCATGATATAATGATATACAGCAACGTTTTTTCCGTTTTGAGTTGGACCTTCTATCGTAATTACAGGGTTTGGGGGCACAAACCTGCCCCTTTCTACACATAAAAGTGGTCTCCACACATAGATGTATCTCGTCATATCTCGTCTGGAGTCCGAAGAACAACGATCCAAAAAAGCTCTGCCATCGCCATCTCCCAAGCTTCTTAAGGCTTTCCTCTTCCTCCTCCCAGCCACCACCGAAGGTCGGTGACAAGTGGGTGATCCTGCGTTTGTCCGTGCTCCACACGAAGTTCTGATTTCCACCGCACATGGCCGTTTTGACCTGGGTCAAGGTTCCAACAAAGGGCTCGAGCATGAAGTAGTACACCAAGATGGTGAGCCCAGGAATGAAGACACTCATGAAGACTGATTTGGCATCAGCACCTCTGATCCGAGGCATGGACGGCATGGGTAAAGGGTCGAGTTGATGAACCAAATGTCGACCTGGCGTTGTAGCCAAGGCATCGAAGAGTAAATCATCGATATCCAAGATGATGCCAAGAGCCACAGCATTGAGAATCAACTCGGTCACGCTCACCGTGTAGACCAAGAATGTGGTGCCCACAATGACCAAGAGCGTGGCTGCCAGTAAACCTTGTTGTTGAAATGGATCGGCTTAAGGACCCCCCCAAAAGAACATATTCCTCAGAAGGGGATTTATATATATAACAGGGAATGTAACAAACATCACCTTACTTCCGCCAAAAGCAAGAAACGGTAAAGGAGGAGAAAGCCACTGAACAGTTTCCGCCGCATGGCCACCGCCCTCAAGCGATAGTGCGTGACCTGTCAACATGCAGTTACACACTATAGAAAAGATTCGCACCAGCAAAAAGCAACATAAATAAATAAAAACGACTGTATATAAGAACACCCTGAGACCGGCGTTAAAAGCTAAACACAAGTTGAACACAAACAGTTGAATCAAGTTGAAACGCATGTGATATCAGTTGTCTCGAACGATTGTTTTCTGGATCAGATGGCCAATGTGGAGCATCCCAACATCCGTTCTTTTCCCGCCTGCGTAAAGGGATTCTCTCGTGTGTCCAGCTTGGTTGGGCCACGCGGCATGGCCATGACACCACGGTGCAATGCCAATGCATGGCTCACCTGGTGGCCAGGTAAGACCCCACGTCACGTGACACGTGTATGACACACCCCGACCTGAAAAGGAACAAATGCATGGGAGCAGTCACAGTGATATGTCTGGAACAAGGCTTCTTCTAAAGGGCTTACCATCTCAAAACAGAAAACAACTTCTTAGTAAAATCCTTGAATATCAGTATCCACCCAAGAAAGTGGACGAAAATGCACCTTGTTGCAATTAGTGGACCGTGAAATGACAAAGCTATATTTTTTCGGCGACCCGCCTCCTTGGCCACCATCAAATACCAACAAATCAGCGCCACAATGCACAGAATCTGTCCCGTGAAGAAACCTTCCAATCCCTCAGCTTCCAATTTCAGGTACTTGTTGATGTTCCTGAGTCATGGGCGGCTCGAAAGCTATACTCATTATTTAGGGCTTAAGGTGAACATATCCTGTGGTCATGTATGCCAAGATAATTTGACAAACCTACCTTCACTTGGACTCCAAACATGCCAAATGATCCACATATTCTTCATCAATGTCCAGCAATCCAAACATGATCAAATCAAAGATGCATATAACGAGGCATGTAGAAGTGGTGTGAAGGGTAAGCGATCATCACGAGGGCCCCAAATGGCATGGGTTTCATAATTATGGTGCGTTTGTTGTTTGCATTTTGCCAGACTCCTTCCGTGTCGCTGCCGTTTGGTCATGTGGGGTTGGGCACATGCTGCTGCTTTTCTCTCGGGAGTATGCTTTCTTCGGGGCGGGTTGGGGCATGTGGAATGCTAAGGTTCATCTGACCTTGCAAAGCATGCAGCATGCACTTGATGCTACACTGTTACACCATCTAGCCTGCTAGCCTGCACATCTTGTCATCTCTCATATCCCTGCCGAGAGTCTCGATCAAGCCCACTTGCAGCCCGGAGGATGCCAAGGACTTGTCCTCCTTGCACACTCAATTCACCAATGACTCCTTGGCCACAAGGCTGTAGTCTGCAAAGGAATGCCCAGACGATCTCCTCCACCTGGACGCTCGGTGTGCAGGTTTCGGCCGCCGAAGCTCCGACCCGACGGCCACCGGGGCGCCCCGTTTCCCGTGCTGGGATGAGTCGACGGCTGAGGGTGAATGAGGCTGGCATGAATTGCCATGATCTACTCCACCTGTCTAGGACTATAAGCAGATCCGAGGTGGTACAAGAAACCTCGGAACACTTTCCACCTCTAGAGATGTCTAGACAAGCCGACCCCAGTAGAGCGTGGCCGACCCAGTAGTCAGTACGGCGTGTTGTGTATAGAAAGATGCAAACCCAGTGGTGTGCACAACTGACATTGGGGGGTCTATGAAATAACACCCTGAACTCATCACGGAAGTAAGTGGAGTTCACCACCTATAGTCATCCTATAGTCTTCCCAGGGGCAATGCCATCTACGTAACCCTGATTATCTCAGGGAGTTTGTATACTGTGGCTATCACAAAAACGCGCGCAAAAAAACACGACATCACACCTCAAACTGTCAACGATGGAGCTCTCATTGATGTCCGGTGTGGTGAAGTTGTAGTACGCAATGGCCACGAACACCACCTGCATAAGCACATTCACGATGGCCAAAAGAAAGGTCTGGAAGGAGCCAAAGGGTCCCAAAGCACCAGTCCCGATGAAGATCACCAAGTCCCACGTGGATTCACCAAAGGTGTAATACTCACAGGTCTGCGTATCCAAGGTCTTCTCATCCATTTCCTTCACCTTGGATCGTGAGATTTCAATGACTTTGGGCACACTGGCACGTTTGGAAGCCGGGGTCATGGATGTCAGATCACTGACATTCGGTTCGACTTTCGCCTCGGACTTCGTGCTCTCCAAATTGACTGGAGTGAAGTCCTTTTCGGACGCAGACTTGGCTTGTGCAGAAGCTTTGGGAGAGGCCTCCTCGCCCCAAATGGGCTTCGGTGGCTTCGGTTCGGTCTCCATGTCGAGTTGCACGTTGTCGGGACTCCACATGGCCGCGACATCGATTCTCAACATCTGCTCCACTGCATGTAGACGTTCATGGAGTTGTGGAACTAAAGATGCCAAGATGATGGTCTCTTCCATCTCTTCAAACTTTTGATCAATGGCATTCAGAATGTCCGAGTCTTGAGGAGCAAAGGTGCCTTGCCGTGAAAACTTCGCCTTCCGCAACACCATGCCGAGGGGCCCAAAAACGTGTCGATGGAGGCCGTTTCCACGGGATTTTTGGAGCGACGGGAAGGCCAGAAGACCAGGCCCAAAGCGCGGAGGACGCAGCGGAATTAAGCCGCACACAGCTGAGGACATGACACGCTTGCCATGGTGTTCATGCTCACAAATGCCAAAGCTCAAAGCAGAACATATATACTAGTACAGTATGTGCATGTACTTGTACATGTATATTATATAGTGAAACCCAGTATAGATAGAAACGGTGTCCGAAACATTTTTCGTGCGGAATCTACTTTTCCGCCTTTTTTCAAACATGAATCTGGGGACAAACTAATCAAACAGGACAAAAGAATCAGCTTTGCGGGAAGAAGGCAACAAACTCGCTCCGCATCCTGCCTTTCCCTGCCTTCTTGAGGCTTCAAGCAAAGCCTCTTCGCCTTGCCGAATCCCAAACTGTTCCATCCAAGACCGAATGGGCCATGGGACTGGAAGAGTTACAACCTGCATGGGCCATGAATGATGGTAAAGGCCTTTCTCTAAAACGTTAACAGTATAAAATAGAGATAGGTATATAGCTAGTTACCGACTGTTGCAGGTATGACAGACCCAAGTATGATTTATGTAACACAGTCCCATGGATGCTCTGGGCAACCAAGATCTTCTCGGCCAAATAACTATCAAACATGATCGATATACTACACACGATACGGCTAACAACCGGGCAAAAAAGGCGATGAAGACAACCTGTGGTGTCAAATGGAAAGCTTTCGTTTCACAATCTTCTGGTTCATTTTGACCCCTCACTATAGAGTCGATCAGATCCTGCTGGATGTACAGAGTCCTCAGATATTGCTGTCGTTCTCTGGCGACGAACCCCAAACCATCCCACCAGCAGCAGCGGCTAGACTTCGACGCTGTCGGAGCTCCAACGGCGCGTCGACTCGTTGGCCGAAGCGGCCTGGCCGAAGCGAAAGGGCACGAAGAGAGCGGAGGAGCTCCCACCCCCGCGGCGAGCGAGCGAAGACGCTGTAACAGTAGACCACTACATGCGCTGCAAAAAGCTTAACCGGTAACTATAGGTATACCGGTTTTCTCCATGGTAGGCGGCTGTTCTCAAATTGCCTAAGCTTGTAGGAAAGTTCAAGCCGGAGACAAACTCACTTCAGGAAACCCAGCTGCCTGGATGAGTCAACACCAAAATAAACTAGAAACAAACATGAACAAGCCAGGTTCTTCCTCGTTAACTTCAAGACATCTCTTTAGAAAGAAACCCACACCTTCAGGTCAAAGAAAAGCAGCTTCTCCGCTGAAGCTGATTGGCAACATCAGCAGCATGGAGCTCTGGCCACATCGTACTTGGTCAATGCAGATCTCTGAATGAGCTATGCGACCAAAGCTGGGATACTTGAACACCACATCTTCCAACTCTCTGGGGTCTTTGACAAGGCGTACGCGGAATGTTTGACTCAATGACCTCACACTCTTTTCAACCATGGCCATGAAAACCAATTCTCCAGCCAACATGCGTTTCAACGAGTCCCTCGCCCTTCGCACCACTTTTTTGCTTTGGGTGTCCGGGCCCCTTTTCTCTGAGTCCCTTTTCTCTTGGACTGTGGCAATCCGTTTTGCTTCGAAGCAGCTTTTTCGGTCTCCGGATGTCTCCAGCCTCATATCCACCTCGCTCACCGCGTGCTCACCGCGAAGCATGCTTCTCAGGCCTCATCGGTCCAGAGACTCGAAGGATGTTCAATGCGGCATTGCGGCATGTCCGGCATCAACTCCTGCCCACTGACCAGAGCTAAACACCACAAACCGGTGCCGATCAGTGCTGGAGAGCGGTGTTTTCTGGGAAAGACCGGGGAGACTCCAAATCGGAGTCTAAGGCATTGAGAGGACCGACCAAACCACATGACCTGTCTCGGTTCGGTCTACACACGGTCTCCCTCTTTTTCACCGCGGAGGTGGGGTGGTTCGTCTAGTCAATTGAGTTGGTTAGTCAACTTCCACCATCGTGCCAAGGTCACGCATGTATTGTACTGCATCTTTGCCAGACTGATCTCTTGCAGTCACCCGTAGCTCTGGTAGCACCACTCCTCGAGTCAAGGCTTCTGTGAGCACATGGAGCGAGAAAGGATTCCTAGCAAGATTGAGCTTCTTCAAACAGGGGATGCTTGGGAGCACCTGAAGCATGTCTTCAAGTATTCCATTGTTGATGTGATTCTCGGCCACATACAAGGTTGAGAGTTGCCCATCACCATGTGGCATCGCCAATGCTTGAAGAATGATCAGAACTCCGTCGTGGAGTTGGTTCTTGTTCATAGTGAGCACATCTAGGCTCTCATTCGCTCTCAAGCCTTCGGCAAGCACACGGGCTCCAGCCTCACCAATGCCATTGTCATTGAGATACAGCTTTTTCAATGTCGGAGTTCTTGAAAGAAATTGGGCCAAAGGATGCAACTTTGATCCTAATTGAGTTCTTGACAGGCTTAAGAGTTGCAAGGGAGAGGACCCTGCAAATGCATCCAAACTTCGTGACAGTTCCAGGCATTTTCGATAGCCATCACAGGATCCTATCATCTTGTCTGGACCTTTTGCCAAGAAGGGAAGTAACTTGAGGCCATCAGGACCTATTGGATTTCCATCAAGATACAACTGTGTCAATGTTTCGTTCGAAAGTAGTGCAGAAAATAGGCTCTCAGCTCCTTCTGGCCCTATACCATTGTCGGATACTTTCAACTCGGTCACGACATCATCTTCTTCTAACAAGCGTCCAAGCACACCTGCTCCAATGTCCTGCAAATTAGAACTGGGCAGAATTCTCTTCTGCTTTGCTACCCACCAAATCTTCATCAGGTGCATAGGTACATGCGCCGTCGTGCTATCTTCTTGCAAGTTGCAGTAGCACTCACTGAGAGGATAGGCCGCATTCCGAAGGGCCACAAACAAGGGCCATTGTATGGCCATAGTCACCACGACGATGTGAAGAACGGGATCTGCCAAATCCGAACCAGAAGCGTAGATGTCTGACCCAAGCGAGCCTAAACATAGTGCGTAGAGTGCAGCTTTCGCCACTATCCAAATCCGCGGCTTACATGCAAAAAGCGGCTGTCCAGAATGGAGTAATGGTTCGGGTGGCGTCAAAAGGGCCCACATGGCGTACAGCAACTTCTTCCAATCTCCAGTTGCATAGAAAACCTGTAACATTTGCCTCGGGACCAACAGCAAAGGCTCAAAAAAGATGTCGAGTTCTTAGCCTGCAACATAATACACATGGGTCCTAACATATTCTAAATAAGACTACAGCTACTCTACTTCAAACCCATAGCAGTGAGCCTCTCATGCCACAGGCATAGATGTGAATGACTTTGCTCCTGGAGAGCAAGACATTTATGAAGTGTTATTTTCCATTCTGTAGTGCCACACTCTTGATATCACCAAGAAACAATGCCAAATCAACAGCTAGCAATCCCAAAGCAGCAGGGAAGCCAGCCCACGTGATGTCCACCGCATTTTGGAAGACCAAAGGCAGTAAGCAGTTAGTCACCAAAGTTGCCCCACGGTAGACCACAACAAATGCAAACCTCATCGATCCATTGATTCGAAAAAATACAAGAAAATACCATTACCCCACAATATATAACGCCCCAAGCAATCCTCAGCATAAAGAAACACCTTGATGCTTGAAATCCAGTCTGGACACAATGCAGAGCAGGAAGGCACTGTGCCCACGACACTTGGAAGGCCGTTCACCTCAGAGAAAATAACATTAAACATCCAAGGGCCAAAGACAAATGGGAAGTCTGGGAAAAATGACGGCGTGTGTCAGTTGTTCTACAGCGAATGCCTCTCAGAACACAAACAAGTAACAAGATGTAACAAGCATCAGTGTTTGCATTTTGTAATTCATCCCTTTCCAAGTCTGCCTCTTCTCCAAAGTGACAACATCCTCCAAACACTGGGGTCCTGACAAAATGTGAGACGTGTCCGAAGCAATCAATTTGAGCAAAGGTCTTGACCAAGAAGCAGCCATCAATGAGCGTTGAAATGTAAAGGAATGACCAGGAGGTTGGTGAAAGCTCAGGTCCAGCAAGCAAGAAAATGTTAAGGAAAAAGACCGGCACGGTCTCTGTGAGCAAGGAAGCCCGTTGCAAAGCTTCAAACACTTGAGGAAGACGCAACATGTCCATGGCTCGCTCAACCTCCTCTGCCGTATCAGAAAAAGCCAACAAGATGAAGCACAAAAGCAATATGCAAGCTGGCAGCAATTGGAAAAAAGTCAGGAGAGCCATGCAGCATGGGAGACACATCAGTTGGCCGGACTGCAAGGCCAAAGGCGGCATGTACATCCAATTTGTGGGAGTTTGAGGATATACCCACATTGCAGCCCAAGAGGCTGCGAGTCCAATCATTGTAAGCTTGATTGAAAAGGCACGAATGTCAGTGCGCTGATATAAATCTAGCAACGTCAAAGTGTCAGCCACAAGCCTGAAACAAATCAAGCCAGCTGCAGCGACCACCTCGAACAAAGTTGCCATTTTGTCACCGCTTCTCACAAGCGCCACGCCAAAACTGACCGGGTCATGCATCTTGTAATCGTAGCCTCTTCCTCCCCGCAAAGGAAGAAGGCTGCCCACAAGCCACACCAAAACTACTAGAATGCCAAGAACGAGGAGGGCGTGAGCCACACTTTCCTGGTTCAGCTGTTCTATCTGCTTCAGTACACTCGAAACCTGGCCAAATCCAAGTTCCCACACGGTGCTGACGACATATGCACCGGCCACCAGGACCAAACAGAGTGTCAGAATGTCCCAAGATGCCCACGTCAAATGTGGCTCCACCGTGCTCAATGGTTCATAACGACTTGCTTCCATGGGAGGGCGGCCGTTTTAGATGAAAGTCACTACCTATACTAACTACCAGGGCCATCCAGGGCCCAATTGCTGCGCTGTGGAGAAGTTGCCGGACATGGCGCAGCACTTCCCACTTTCAAAAGAACGAACACGAAGTGGTCAACTTCAACGAAGCTTGGGATCCGCGGCCTCGAAGTTGAACGAAGTTGAAAGAAATCCGTTCGAGGGCGGGTGGCATCCAAGGCATCCGTCAGGACCTTAGAGAAGCATGAAACAAAACTCCGGAATCGACATGTCAACAAACAGCTGCCTTTGATGACTTTGGCAAATGATGTCGTGCCACAACAGAATCAACTCCCTTCGCCGCCTTCGCCAACAGTTGTCTAGCACAATAAACATGATGCCTCATTGTAAAATTGGAGTGTGCGACGCAGCTTCTTGGAAGTTCCTCCATGCAGTGGTAGCCTAGCATCTAAGATTTGGACAGTTCGGATGCAAAGTACAAACCTGCCAAAACCGCCAGGTTTTCCGAGGTCTTTCCACGTGTTCGATCCTTCTACCGGCCAGGCCAGGCCGGAGCGGCCCCTCCAGATGGGAGGTTTCCCATCCGGTCACAAAAATAAGATCAACCCAGCAAGTGTCCGCATGAGTTTCTGGGAAGTCGTTTCTTAGCTACTCCAGGTCCGATTCTTTCAGAGAAGAACCTATAGCAGACCAAAGGACACTTCGATGCATGATTCCCCTTTTTGGTAGTCTAGGGGCATCATTCCTATTCCGCTTGAGCACGGGCCCCCCGGTTGCTTAGTGGCCAAGGCAGGGGAATTTGGAGGTTAGACTGGAGCACCAGTTGGCGCTTCTTCGGACAAATCGACGACTGGTGCAAAGACGAATCCCCGGAGGTTTTTGTGTAAGGAAAGTCTGCAACTACATGACAAGAAACTACGTCTCACCAGTGTGTTTTCTGTACAAACAAATGGCGTTCCGCATGCGTCTTGACGATCGCGTTTCTTTGCGTCATGTATTTTAAAAATATATTTCTATTTTTCAGAGTCTTGTGGCATGCTTGGGATTCGCAGTTCTTCGGCTTGGGGATCTCGTTTCTTCGGTGGACCCTAATGGCAAAGTAGTTCTTCCGTGCTCAGGAGTCGGTTGTCTGAGCTCCTAAAGGGGAATCATGGAAGCTTTGGCCAACAACCTAGAACAGGAAAGCAGCCTATTTTGATGGTCTTCCACTTGGGTCCTACATTGATTTCAAGAAAACAAGCTAGACTTCTATGAGTCGTGGTTAGGCAGATTTGAACAGTAAGTGAAACAACTCAATTGTCAGGGACCAAATTGTCATCAATTGCATCAACACCAATCAAAAACACCAGCTTGAGAAAACCCGGGAGCTTCTTCTAATGCCAACACGGTGGTGAGAATAAGCCCACCACCGTGTTGGCCGGGCGCGAGCCTATCTTTGAGGTTCCACACCTTGACCGGTCAATTCGTCGGCTGTCTACCTTTAGGCGACTGGAGACTAACAATCCCAACTTGATCACCCAACCGCCCCCCCTTGCAATCCACCGCCGTCAGGTCTGGGAATTGAAGCTATTCAATCAGGTAATGCCCACCAACATCCCCAACAGTTGACGAGTCGCCTGCAAAGACAGGACTCTATAGCTGGGGTCCGCCTGCCCAGCGACAACACGTGACCCGAGCGCCATAGCGCCCTTTTTTGCAGCAAAGGAAGCACCAATCGTCACCTCATCTGTAGCTGCTACACCATTTCCATATCGAGTGGGGAAACATCACAGGACCCAAACACGTGCCAACTTTAGCCTTTCCAAGTCTGGCGAAACTATGTGTTTGTCTGACCTACTCGCAAGGAATGAGTTCATCTGCAACCTGGGCTTGGGACCAATGATGGACCATGTGCCATGTGTAATTATTTGAAGTATCGGACACAAATCATACACAACATCGACCTTTGTCAACTTTGTAAAACCACGTTGTGAGCGCTCCACTGTGAATGTCATGCCTGCGTGCTGTGGAGATTGATGGCGTAACTCTGAGTCCTCACCGTCACAGCGGCCGCAAGCCAACAAGCATGGACGGGGAAACCAATCTTACTTAAGAATATACACTTCACAATTGGCTAAGCATTAGCTACACAAAACCAAAAACACGTTTACCCACAAAAAACGGGAAGAATCAGGAAGAATTGCAACATGTCTGCACACTGCAGACCCAAAAGGGAACATCACGCTTCACATGTCCCTGGATGTTCAGTCAAGAAGTCTGCCACAACCCATCTCTTGGTCAATGTTCAACCTATATAACTGGCTTTCAACAATCTGAGTGGTGTGCTGCACACGGTAAACACGGCACCACAAGGAGGTTCAAAGCCCAGCTACAAGTTTGGGAGAATGTTCAGATGGTTCTGCCTCGCTTCAGCGTCGTTTGTGCATCCAATCAAATGTATATAGCCTGGTTCCGAACTAGAAGGCCGCAAAGGGGACGCTGGCGCTATGAGACAGTTATCTCAAAGGCATATGTACATGGCGAGCTTCTTTGGCTCACAACAAAATGTTCCCAGCCAACTGGCAATAGAAGTAACATAATCACTATGAAACAGATCAACCTCTGCTTGCTTCAAACTGAACTTGTTCGACAATGAGACCAGGTTGAGGTCAGTGGAGGTGGTAGCAAAATCCAGCGATTTCAACTGCAGCTGGAAACATATTCCTGAACGCGTTTTGCATCCATGTGTGCCTCTGGCCATTTGCCTTCAAACTGCTTTCCATCTTGAAAAACATACTTGCACTCGGCAAGGACGGCTTGACCGTCTGCCCAGGTGCCTTCCAATCGATCGCCGGTCTCATAGCTATATTTGCAATTGTTGCCGTGCATCTGCCCTGCTTGAAAGTATCCATCGAAAATGTCGCCATTCTGGTAGAACTGCTTGCCAGGACCATGCTGTCTCGAGTTCTTCAGAGACCCACTGTAGATCTCTCCGCTGGAGTGCACGATGTAGCCAGGACCAGCTACATTGGAGGCCCAAAGCTTGGCAAACTTCGGTGAGTTAACACGGATGATGCAACTGTCGATGTACGCAAAGAGGCCTCAAATGGCGCGAATTGCAGTCAGCAAGATTCATATTATCTTTCTGAGATCAAAAGTGCTGAGTGCTGCAACGCCCATCCGGAACGTCCTCGACTTCCCTGCGGCAAGCCTTACCAAATTGCATCAGGTGAAGCCATACTGAATCATTTGAACTACTACAGCTCAAGCTTCTTCCCTCGCTTCTCAAACGAAATATGCTTGCTGATACCATTTGTTTGACATTGTATGAGTCGTCCGCTTCAGAAACACCATGCGAACTCTCAAGCCTGCCCAAAAATTGACCTGCTGCTAGGTGGCTTCGGAGGCCGCCCATAAACGAAAGAAATCCACCGTGCCTGCGTTACATGTCAGTTGATGTCAGTACATGTTCGTGTCAGTATGAGGTGTTGAGCCCTGCCTGCTAGAATTAGGACACCATATTTGGTCTTTTCTGAATAGTGCTTGTACTGGATCAACCATCGGTCCTGAAGGAAGGCTACAAGAAAAGGAGGCATCAAACATTCGAGTATGTAAGCACCATGCGCAAAGTAAACAAACAAAACAACATCCAAAAAAACATACTTTCACAGTCACCAACTCGAAACAATGACACTAATAAACAGTAGTTTATTGGCTAAACCAAATCAATGAAACTTGGCAGCAAAATCAAAGAAACATGTCAAGCCTGTCCTTGCCCAGTCCACGCTTCAGGCGAAGATCCTGATCGTTGATGAGTGGTTTGGAAGGATTGTACCTGGATCCGACGTCAACGGTTCCAGCCACACACCGCAGCCCACCAAACAGAGCTAAAGATGCTAAAGCCAAAGCTGAAGCATGAGGTATAGCATGGTTTTACATAAAGATCCGTAAAACTGATCACGAAAAGCTGAATGACTTCCAGGTCGCTTGAGTAGGCCCACATTTGCCTCGATTCTTCGATACAATGGGGCGCCTTCCTCGCCCACGCCACATCCAAAGACGCCAAAGCCCTCCTCCTGGCAATGAATCGGCGAGCACATAGAATTAGTGGATCTTTGTGGTGTGTCACACTTCGTGGATCAGTAGCCTGCGACTCCTATCTGAAGGTAATCAAACAAATCACCAAAAACCGCCTCCAGCTCATTGAGCAATTCTTGTGCATTTGTTCCAGTTGATAGCTCGGGCTCGCCAATCCTTACTCGTCACAGTGAAACCAAGCAGTCTTAAAACTCTTGAACTCGACTGTTGGATATCTTGTGACACCGGAAGATGTGACACACCGTCACATCACAACATTCAGAACACCCAATTCCGTCTGCAATCTGCAAACAAGGCGCACAGGTGGTCATTTACGTGAAACCCGACAAGAATTGGGCATCAAGTTGCATGAACTGCAGCACAGAAAGTCCAGACATGCCAGCAAGTGTCTTCTTCTTTTCCTGATTAATCCTTCGGAGAGTGCCAGCATCCAGGCTGGTTGTGCCAGATATCAGAAACAAGGCATCTTCAGCCTCAGTGTGCTCAACGTCTAACGTGATGTTGTGTGGTGCCTCAGTAAGCACGTGACCAACCTCAGCTAAGCCCTCAACCAACTTGTCGTACGGGAATTCATCTTTAGTCTTGCTGGCGTCTGCCTGACAAGCCAGACTGGAGAAGCAAACTTATATATTACAAAAAATCTGTCTGATATTGTAAACATCTGCGAGTACCGCAGGGTGGGGTATTGTTGAATAACTGAGGACGCTTCCATCAGGCCCAAGGATGGAAGCTGCTTAGATACTTCGAACAACAGCTGAGGTGTGACAGGAAAGCGACTAAAACACTGATGTGTGAAGAGGAACGACTCCAAATGACGCCTAGCCATGCCTATTCCTCACCTTGGGCTCTGGTATCGTTCTCTTACCGATAGTTCATCGTCTCTGGTTTGGTGGTTGCTCATATTGTGTCCAAACTCTGTTCATTCAGTTCATTCCAACGATTAAGAGGCCAAAGCGATGCTTGATCTCGCAAGTGCCACCAGGAACTTCCAAGCATCAAAAACTCCACTCGAAAAAAAACATATCCAAGACCCCAACGGCACCAAAATATGGTATGTTCTTTCAAACGCCAGGGTGCCTCATCTAAACCCTCTTTCTCACGCTGATCTTTGTCAGCATCTTCTGCCTAGGCATGGGTGGTCCAGAAAAAATAATCAGCATGCATCCTCCACGTTTCACCCTAGCCACTACCCTAGCCCTATCGGATCTATCGGTATCTTTGTGCAATAGCAGGCGAAGATCTCCCCAATTCTTTGACTCCAGCCGCACTTTTTTTGGAGCACAAACAGCACCGCAACCTTTCTTCCACACATGCCCTAATGTTGAGTGTCTTTCTCAGTTTTGAGAACAACATTGAGAAGGACTTTGCATTGATGTTTCAATATGTTTCAATGTTGCATTCATTGCAGATTCATGCTTCAATGTTGTACATTCATAGCATAGACTAGATGTTGTGGGCATCGATTGATGTGGATAGGTGCAAGCGGTAAAGAAAAACGTGGCTTCGTATTCCAATTTCCTCAAGCTCTTCAACCGTTCAACTAAACTGGTTATAAAAATGAAAAGCTCAGCATCACTACACGATGAAACATGAGCAGCATGCTTACGTGGTGCGTTCTATCTTTGCTTGGGTGTGCCAACATTTGCCAACATGTGTGAATGATTGAGAATTGAGACATCTTGCAACTCTCAGGTCGACGGTTTCAAGATCTGTTATGAACAAAGCTGTTGCGAAGGCATGTCTTCAGCACTTCAGGAAACACAAATCAGGTCGGTGTGACCAACATGGAAAGGGCGAAGGCCCACGATGGAAAGAGAACAACACCGCCAGTGCAGCGGCCAGAAGCGGCAGGATTGACATCACAAAAGATATTTGTTCAGAGCATCTTGGAGTAAATAAGGTGGGGATAGCTAAAAAATGATGGCGAATTGATACAAGATAGATCAGCAGTATTAAACAAGCACTGTAGCAAACACGTTGGAACAGGCATGTGGAGAACCAAGTGGCTGGAATGTTTATTCATGTGGTTTTCCATATATGAAACTGCTATGTTTCTATGTTGTGTTGCATGTTCAAACGCTCATCAGCATATGTATCTTCAGATTCCACAAGCTGTGGCCTCAAGAGGCTGACTCTCTTGAACATAGATTGCTCAAGTGACGTACACCACGCCGTGTCAATGTTAAAGACAATCCAAGTAAAAATGGTGAGCCAAGCCTCGCAGTCAATTTAAGGCGTTCGACTCCCCAAACACGACATAAACCGTAAGTGTTCGACAGGACTGGAGGGTGAAGGGGGTGTCGGAGAAGCCTCGCCGTCGGTACATACAGAGATTATGCGTTCATGCGATGCATGTTTCAAGTTTGCCGCTTGGCCTAGCTTCGTCACAGCGCTGGGATGCGATGCTTTCTTCTGTTTGGCAATCTAAGATGCTTCCTTTTTGATAGGTTCCAAGGTATGATAGCCTCACACTATTGAAAACGGCTTGGGAGTGTCACTGCATACAAACTCAACCACACTGAAAAGAACAAAGGAGATTCAGCAAATATCAACCCTTCTGACCCTCCCGCTATTTTGGTGCTGCATGTTGTTCCATGACAGGGCCAAGCCTGACACCACCCTAATTCCTTGACTTGTTTGCCTACAATGCTTTGACTTACTGTATTTGCCAGCATCAGGCTGCCTTGGCCGGCGCAGAATATCCTTGCGAAGCTCCAGCAGCCTGCCGCACATTTAGAAATAATAACATTGATTGATGTATCACAAAAACAGATTACATACACCAGAATGGAAAGTACATGGAGCTTTTTGGGGGTGCAAGTTTGTCATCCCGATTTTGGCCACTCTGCCGCTGTGAAGTGATTCTCGGTGAGGCCAAATGCCCAAAGGCAGCAAGAACGCTCAGGGCGATCCACCAAGACATGTCAATGGCAAATTCAGACTCTTCAAATTCTCTTCACGAGGCAAAGCTGCCAACAAATTTCATTTCTTGCAGGCCACAGGGTTGTAAATCAAATGATTTGTGCGAAACGGCAAACGTACTGCCAGGGCAGGAGAAGTTGAGCTTTCTGCTGATACATCTGTCTACTAGTCGTGAGGAGACCTATTTACACACGCAGGCTCCGCAGCTCGTATGTGTGGGCCACAGAAAAAAAGAATCTCCCTCCGGGAGGAAGCACCACACAGGTTGGCACCACAGGTTGGCGCAAAGAGGCCACAAATGACCAGCCATGTCAGCTGATGTTGTGGACAACAATCCGTCTACCATGTCTGGCAGTCTGAAGTAAGTCCGTGGCCTGGGCCAGCTGGCCAGTGCTGGGTCCTTTGACTTCGGCTGCTAAAGGGAAGGGCAGGACTGCAAGCAAAGGATTGAAACTCCAGAAGTTCTCACCGAACTGGGAAGGAGATTTAGTTTGGGTACTAAGTACAACTGCAGTTCCGAACGGAGGCCGTGGCAGGAACTCGCTATGGCGCCGCGAAGAACAGGCCGGTGAAGGGAAGAAAGGCAGGACTTCAACGGTGAGAGCTGCTCAAGCGCTTTCATCAACACAGAGAGAAGCGACATGGCACATGCCCCCGTCCCTGCGAGGCTAAAACACATTGTTCGTGACAAGGTACACTGTGGTGTTCTCGTCTCAACTTCGCTGAAATTCGAAAGAACATCCAAACTCGAAACGAACACCGGGAGGCACATGTTCGAGCATCTGTGAAAAAATTCAGAACACGGCATTATCGGGGTGCAACTAATGAATCGTCCACAAGGACAAACGGTTTTTTTTAATCACTCTGACAACTTGGGTGTGTTACCATGAGTCAATAGATGTCAATACCAATTTGCACCAAAGGCATCGTAGATTGACATGCCTGGTGGTCAATATGTTGTTTGTACTTGGGTACGGCTCTAGGGTTTTGCGTGCGCACAGGTGAAAAAAACAAAATCACACTCTTGGCCTTCACAGCGCTGGGGGTTGCACGTTCGGCTGGCGGTTCCTTGAAATCAATCAGCGGTGCAACACGTCGACAGACATGAATTCTGAAGACTGACTCTTCACTCTTCGATAGACAAAGACTACCAGCGTGGCCACAAGTTTCAGCAACAAGCCCAAACAAATGCCTGCATGAAGCAACAAACATGGTTTCCATCTTGAAACAATTGTGAGCACCTGCCCCTCTAAAATCAACAACTCAAGTGCCTAGTGCTCAGGTCTCGACTGCTCCAGAAGTTGGCGCTGCCTTTAAACAGTGGCGTTACATGAAGCACAACATGTAGGACTCTTGAACTCTTGCTTATTTGTCGCTTAGCCGTTGATGTTTCAGCATACAAGTGCTATGCAGCCGGATTGTGCCAAGGACAGGGTCTTCAAGCTTAGGCTTCGATCCTTATGGACATTTAACCTCCAATCTTCTGTGTTCCAAAATTGTGGAGCCATGGGAACAAGCAAAACCTGTAGTCTATAGTGACTCCTAATTGGTCCGGGTTCTGTGGAGATCGCACAACATCACAAAAGGTTCCAAAGGAAAAACAATCTCACACATAAATGGGCACGCCCGCAAGCTCCAGCCTCTTTTTGCCTCTCTGCCTTGGTTGACATGCCATACACAAAGGACAATACGATGAAGTACTGTGGCTTTGGTGTCTATACGTAGAAAAAATGCGAGATGATTCCGGTAATCTTTCTCATGGAGGCCTAGTGACAGGAGGCAAAGCACGGTGAGTACTTGACCCAGCGGCGATCTGTTGTGAAGAACATGGGCCAGCCTCTCAAACAAGCACCCCTTGCTCAAGCATGATGTTGTAATCATGACTTGTCCCAAGATTTGTCGAGTGGGTCGGGAGCTACTTGTGATATTACTCTGCAGGAGAGCACCAGAGAATCACGAGGCGAGCGTGCAAGTACTAAAAAACAGGAGAGTTTAGCAAAGTGACCGGCAAAGAGGTACAACGGGATACCGACCAAGTTGTCTTGAGACCCAAGACCTCTTAAATGAACCCCAAACAAAATAGATTTGTGTGACATGTTGCTGTAATGGCATCTCAATACTGTGTCGCACTGCTGTCCGCAAGTGGAAATGACACATCTGAATGGCAAGCACAGCGAAACAGCTCCGTATCCAAGAAAAACAGTTAAGGCTCCAAGGACAAGGCACAAGCGATCAGGATCAGTCCGGCCCAAACGTCCTGTCTAACCTAAATGATCCTAATCGATACTGTTCTATGATGTAATAAGATGTAATAAGATCGAAATAGTTTAAGCAAAGATAAACAAAGTGTTTTCACAATATGAATCCAAATGTTGCATCTTATAGGTTCAAGCGCATGCCTCAAGTCAAGAGCCATGCCTCCGACTGAGCGCAACACAGGCATCAAGTCTCGTGCCAAACAGGCATTACAGGTGGGTTGAGCTAAATGAGCCGCGCTAATCACAAGAATCAGTTTCGGCGCACTTGGATGCGGTTGCCACAAGCGGCCAAACAACGTACAGCAAAACACTTGCCAAAATCGTGCCAGCAACGTTTGTAAGAAAATGTTCCAAGGCAAAAGGCCTGAAACATCGTGAAGGTCAAGGGCTCGGGAGCTAGGAGATGAACAGCGAGGGAACATCTCAAAGAGCAAGCACTGTTTGACGGTCGTGAAATCACATGAAATGCGACGACTGTGCTTAAACACATGCGGTTTGTGTTGCGCCAGCTCCCAAGAAACAAATGTTCAAACTGATCGAACACACAGTGGCTGCTTCGCCGACTATTAACGTGTCGAACATGGCCTCTCCACACTTGGCATCGACACACATTGTTTCATGCAGCCCAGGAGCAGCCCGCTTCAGTGCTGCTGCCGCATCAATTTTTTTCATCTTTAAAGCGAGCATTAAAGGTGTTTGACCTCGGCAGCTGACGCCAGGTATGGGCAGAGGTCAGCCAAGCTGAGACTCCGAAGCTAAATTCAACCGAAGTCAGATTCTGATGTTTATTGATCTGGAAGACTGAACGGACTCGGCGACTCGCAAACCCGAAAAAGCTGCATGTTGCCCCTTCTTGAACACACTCTTTGAGAGGGCAATTCAATCCCTTTCAGCCTTCTCGGGCTCTCCATCTTTCGACACATAGTGAAACAAAAGGACAAAACCTCTGGAATCCCAACAATTTTCGCATGGGTAGCGTGTCAGAGTCAAAAGCAGAAAAATCTCCAGCGACTTGAAGGCTATGTTTGACGTGGGGCCACGTCGGCACCTGACAGCACCAACAACCCGAGACAACACCTGGAACCCATGAGCTCCGCTGAGGCTTCGGCCTTTCTTATTCTTGGCATCCAGCGATGCCCCAGCCGCCACCAGCGGCACCACGCACTGCACTTGGCCGTAGAAGGCGGCACGGTGAAGTGCCGTGTCGCCTCGAAGCTGAGAGGCTTCGCACCCCGTGCGATCTCATACCGTGAGGTCAAATCCTATACCTGTGAGTGAACACCAAGAAAGGGAGCTCCAGAATCCACTCGAACGCAAGTGTTTCAAGAATGCCTCAAGCAAATTGTCAATGGTTGTTGCATTCATTTGTCTCCTTTTGTTCGGAACTAACCCTTTCTATTCCAATTTTGGCATCCTTTGACCACTCGACCGCAGCGGGCTCTTCAGCTCTCTCCCCCTCCCAGGGCGCACCGCCACGCTCCAAGGCCCCGCACCGTTCTCGTACGCCGCCGCGACGTCGGCCTTGGCCCCGAGGAGCAGCTGCACCGCTCCGTCGTGGCCGTTGCCCGCGGCCAAACTGAGGGCCGTGGCGCCTCGGGCGCCGCGCGGCGGTTGATGAGCGCCGCGCCCGGAGATCGTGGCGCTTTCGGGTTCCGCGGCGCCGGGTGTGGCGCAAGCTGCGGAGGACGTATAGGAGACATGGAAAACAACAAAAGGAACAGGTCCATGGAGTTTGGGGATGTTGGAAGCAAACATTGAGAACTTGGAAGAGGGCTCGGGCCACGTCACGAAGCTGTGGAAAAAAACTGAAACGGAGAAAAGAAGGAGAGAACAATATAGGATCTTCATGGATCTTCCAAAGTCCCAAAAACTGCTGGATGGCTCCTGAAACTTCCAAAGTGACTCTGTAATTCTTCATGCGTGGAAAAAACGCGTGCTTGTCTCTGAAACAATGTTTGTGAGGGATTTGTATAGTCATGCTCCGGAATCCAGTCGACCGCAAGTGTGTAAAAGTCCACTCGACCGCAAGTGTCGAGCAAATTGTCAATGGTTGTTGCATTCATTTGTCTCCTTTTGTTCGGAACTAACCCTTTCTATTCCAATTTTGGCATCCTTTGACCCCTCGACCGCAGCGGGCTCTTCAGCTCTCTCCCCCTCCCAGGGCGCACCGCCATGCTCCAAGGCCCCGCACCGTTCTCGTTCGCCGCGTCGGCCTTGGCCCCGAGGAGCAGCTGCACCGCTCCGTCGTGGCCCTTGCTCGCGGCAAAGATGAGGGCCGTCCAACCTCGGGCGCCGCGCGGCGGTTGATGAGCGCCGCGCCCGGAGATCGTGGCGCTTTCGGGTTCAGCGGCGCCGGGTGTGGCGCAAGCTGCGGAGGACGTATAGGAGACATGGAAAACAACAAAAGGAAAAGGTCCATGGAGTTTGGGGATCTGTGAAGCAAACATTGAAAACTTTGGGTCCCCTTTGGCGACAGCCACGCCGGCGCCGCTCTTTCCGTCCTCAGCCACAAAAATCCAAGGCCCCGCGCCGTGGTAGTTCCCGGCGTCGACCGCGGCGTTGGCCTCGACCAGGAGCTGCAGCACGTCGCGGTGGCCCTCCATTGCGGCCATGTGGAGGGCCATGAAGCCTGGGTGAGCGCCGCGCCCGGAGGTCCCCACGGAGCTTACCGGTCAGGAGGCTCCGGATGTGGCCGAAGCTGTGAGCCTGTCGTGAGACATGGACATGAATGAAGAAGAGGTCCATAGAAGTATGAGTTTCGGGATTTTGGAAGCAACCATTGAGAACTTGGAAGCCACGACGCGTCTTTTGCAAACGAAGAGCAGGTCTGGAAATATCTCGCGGCAATATGCGGCAATTATCTATTTGACACCTGTTTAAGTTTACACACAAATAGCATCCCTGTCACCATCCATATTGAGTGCATGAAAGTAGTGATCCAGGCGTTTCCCTGTGACAGGCGCTAAAAGAGGCATGCAACTGCACAGAACATCTCTGAGCATTTCCATTATGCCCAAGCATGGCCTCCGATTGAACCAAACAAGTCTTATACAAACAGATAAGCTTTCGTCATCAGTTCTGCCCACTTTGCACTCCACTCCGTCGAGTTCTTCCAGGAAGAACCTTCTTCCACTCCACTCCACTCATCTTCCCCAATCGGACCAAATTTAATCCCTTCTGAGGCCGCGGGGCAATTGCCATCCTTCTTGCTGATCGCCTCTTCGCGGTTCTCCCGGAGGAAGTGCCGCACGGCGCCCAACCGGCCATGCTCCGCCGCCTGGACGACGTCTCGGCCTCACGCGGGGGGTGCGGGAGAGGAGGGACTCTCTCTCTCCGGCGGGGTGCAGCGGTGGGGCCTGGTCCTCCGAAGGTCGAAGGTCGCGACCATAGGGTCGCTGTTTGTATAGGAAAACGCTGAGAGATTATTATTATAAGGGTGGCGACAGATTTCGGGGTAACAACTTAACTTAAATATATCAACTAATATAGGTATCGGTCTCATTGCTGCTTCATGGAGACAATTGCCCAATTCTTCGCGAATAGAAATGCAAATCGACAAGTGTTGCATCTGGAGGGGAGGCATCAGGCATCATGATGCCTTTTCCAACTCAAAACACTTCAAAACTCGTTGAACCAATTCCGTCCACCGATTGCAGGAACGGCCAAAACACATCGGCTCTGAGAGCTGCACACTTGGCGGCTTCGGCTCGATCGGCCTGGACCGGATCCGGATCTGGCTGAATTTGCCAAAAGGTCGGAGACGAAGAAACCGAACCTGAAATCTTGTCATTATTAGACATTGCTCGTGTGCAATTCCATGCAGTTTGACGATCAGTCCTTTTTGTAGACCGATTGAAAGGAAACGGACAGATTTGATGTGTTTGGGAGTTGAAGCAAACTGATCCAAGAAGAGTTAATGGGAAAATAACTTGGTCGCAAGTAGCAGCATAGCGGTTATGCAGTTATATGCTTTCGTTTCCTGGTCCACACCTCCTCTTGTGACATCGTGGCCGCCACAGGTTGGGGTATGCTGTCTTGAAGCAGCACAAAAAAACACAAATGTAAAGACACCACGTGCTGAAAGGCAAGGACTTAGCTGATCTAAGAATCCAACGCACTTTGTTGTACACGTGAATAATGAAATGCAAGTGAGTGAACTGTGCACATTTAATTACTTTAAATTAAAATTAAGCAGATTTTCCTGCAGCATTTTGCCTTACGCGGATTGAGTAGACCCGGCAAAGCCCAAAAGACTCCCCAGGTGCTCAGCTGCATTGAGCCAACATTTCAGCCGTCCGAACAGTGTTGCTTCAAAATCTGTGATGCATGAGGCATTCAATCTGCTCCGTGTGCAAATTGGATGCTTCTGGCTGCTGAATTAGCGGTATTGTCCTGGTAAGCAACGCGTTAGAACTTGTCCCCAAGCACGTGACCACTGGGTCTTTCATCTGCAAGGCAGGGCTGACAACCCAAACATAAATTATGTACCATACCTATAGGACCTATAAACGATCCTTTTGGCAAAACAAATTGCCTTACCTTTTCAGCAGATTGTTCTGCTCCCGGTCCAGGTGCTTAACAAGTATAGGCACGTTCTTTCTGCACCATCTGTTCCAAAATGCACCTAGGTCCCTGGAATGGGATGTCACCGTCCCGGCCCAAAAGAAGACACGGACGGTTCCAACGGTTGCGACCCCGGGAAGACCGCTTTTCGCTCTAGATTCACCAGGGGGTGCCATCCACGTCCGTGGAACGTGAGTGGGTGAGAACCCCAAGAGACCTGTGAAGTGCTCCATGTCACTCCAAACTGCAGCGCTGTAGCTGCTCTCTCTCTCTCTCTCTCACTCGGCTCTCTCCCGTTCTGTCCACTAAAGGAGACGACCTCGCTAAGGAATCATGCCGCTGCCCATGCCATTTCTGTGCCTCAGCAAATTTCAGATCTGAGATGGCACATGGTGAATGCCTCCAGTTTTCAGCAGCAGGATGGGTCTCCCCGCATAGGACGGAGTACACCCAACGAGCTTTGGCCAAATCCATGGTCGATGTGCCCTGGCTTCGACTCGGTCAATGTGGCGTGGAAGGTGGCGTGGTCCGTAAATGTCATTTGTATGAGACTGATCTATCCTTCCACCATATACATGACATAAGTCTGAAGAATCTCTTGAGAATCGATCTTGACCTCTTTCACATTTCTACGTCATCTGCTGCTTGCGCTCAGTCTGTGAGACCTCTCAGTCTGTGAGAATTGGGACTTCGGCATAGGTGAAGGGTGAACTCATCAAGAGGAACACAATCCCAACATGTTGGGTCTATCCTATTAGCAGGGCCAAATAGATGATGATGGTTAGGTTGCAGGAATTGTCCAAGAATAGTGATCATAAGTGATTTGCTTGTTTACTGACTGTTACAGGTAATAGGACCGACCCAACACCTACATGTCTTTTTGGTAATTGCCATGGGTTGTTTTGGTCATATGACCAAACCCCACGAGTTCACAGGTCCTACACAACATCATTCGCTAGAAGGAACGCTCAGGAAGTTTGAGTGTCAAATCCATTTACCCTCCTAAATGGCCTCTATAAAACGAAGAGGATGTCCAACACATTCCAACAAGACTCCATTTGTAGTATATAGTTTCCCTACAAAAACATGAATCTACCCCATACAACGTGCCAAGACATACCCAAAAAAAAAAACAAAAAACATCGGCGGTGGACCCCGCTTGCCGGCCCCGCGGTGTTCCGTCTCGGATTCCTACGGTGTTTTGACATGAATTGGTGTGTACATTGAGTAAAAATAATAAGTTGTACTATATCAGGTGTATATAATGTTACCAAGGTTTTATGCGGGCAAATGATGCTTAGGTTGCAAACCTTTCACCCAAACAGTGACGATCTGACCAACTTTTACTGGTAGTGGTTTACACCCTATCTATACTTGTATGAGCAAGATCCATAACCTCCATTTGAGCCAAACAATCGACAAAACTGCCGGCCTGAATCAAAGGTGTCCAAAGGAATGGAATCAACTCTTGTCAATGCATGCCGACTCGCAGGTTCTTTTGCACACAAGTGTGGTTCTATTTTGGGTGACACAATCTGCGCAGGCTAAAAAGCGCCTGGCGATGAGATGAAATTGAACGGGAGACTCGGATCCGCACAGAAGCAATCTGCCCATCATCTGAGTACTCGAACCGACTTTGTTGAATCGTCCAACCTCTGAACCAACTGAGAGATACTTTGAATTGCTGTCATGCAATATAGGCATAATGTCCGCCAACCCTGCGAGCTTGGCTCCAAACCCCCAAAAATACATTCACTCCACATGTTCGAGATCCAAAACGGTAGAGTCTGCTACTTAAGGAATTCGTCCGAGTCTCCAGTTCGATCGCAAGATCTCCGCTCCTGCCGCCCAAGAGAAAACACGAGCCGGGCCGGGAGATCCGTCCGGGATCCGGTGGTATGTTCCGCCAAATACTAGAGAGATACGCCCAATTAAGTTCACATCATGTCACTAAGTTAATCACATACATTTTTAGTAAAATGTACATGAGATTGTAATGATAAGTTATATCAGTTCCTCCTAATTGAACTACTGCAATTTCTGTAAGTGACAAGGCATCTGACTCTTGGTTCCTCCGCCCTTGAAATCTACACGTCCACGCGCTGGCATCAGCAAGTGGGCGATCTCCACATGAAGCCAGGCTCCGGCTCCAGTCCTACAGAAGTTCATTTGGCAAACAAAGGATTTATGGATGGTGAAGGCTGCGGGGCACGGTCTTCAGCACCTGTGTGCTCTTAAAAGTCGAAATCTTTCAATTCTTCAATCCCAATTCCGTCCTATATCTGTGACACCGTTCCAAAAAGACCAAGAGGGCGCCCACATCAGAAAAGGTGAGCCAGGTGAAGCAGGTGAACTCCCGTGTCGCAGTCCTTTGCTGGGTATTTCCAGGCTGCTGGGCATTGCAAAGCTGCTGGGCATTCCAAAGCTGCTGGGCATTCCAAAGCTACTGGGCATTCCAAAGCTGCTGGGCACCTTGAGGTGGGACTCCCAAGCCGCTGAGGGCATCTCAGATAGACCACCTGCCGCCGCAGGCTTTTTACACGGCAAGTCACGGGATGTTTTTATATTTCGAGAGTGATGAATTCCATGGCCCTTCATCCAAAGGCCGTACAGTTCTGCCTTTCACTTGTGTTTCATGCGAGATACTGAGATACCGCATGTCCACAGTCCGTGTTCGATGCGTTCATTCTCTGTCATGCCCTTTTTGATAGGTCCCCCAAATAGTACCCGCTCATCAGAGTCTCCGGCAACGGCAGGATATGAAGCGATGAAGACATGATCCGCCACAGCGTCACCGGAAAACACCCTTGTAGGTTGACCTCCGTAGTTAGTTAGCTAGCTAGCTAGCTAGCTAGTTAGCTAGATACAAACACTTAAATATAATCTAATATAGATTGATAGATCTAGATAGATAGTAGATGTATCTGCATATGTTCTGTTCATTTTCTCGTGGTCAACCCGACTCCCCCCGGTGTGTGGTGACCGCGGTCCACCAGAAGAGAGTGCGGCTTTGAGTGCCCCAGTTCAGCACGGTCGTCTGCAATCAGAACCGGGTGACCAGTCGGAAAGTCAGCCTCGTGACCAGTGGGAAGAATAAACCTCCCCATGTGATCGATTGGATGAAACAAATCAAAGATGAAATCAATTCGACACCCAACCAATTAATCCTCATGTACGGTTTTCATGACCAAAGTTTGACCAAAGGCAGTCGCAAACTGAAGATGGCCAACTAGTCGCAGTCCAACATCTTCACATAGTGGGAACTATCAAGCGAGGAAAGGCCATCTTCCACAGCCATCTTCACACCTCACAAACGAGCTTCTTCAATTTGATCTTTTGAGGGTCCCAGCCAGTGACCCTTTAGAGGCTTAAGTCTTAAGTGACCTCAACATACCTCAACCAGTGTCACTTTGAAGAACCACGTAATATTCTAGTCGATTATCATTCTCAGTGGTTCATCATGGTTCCAAAGGGATGAAGCACACCCTACAAACTTGCGAAGCGCCAGGCCTCAGGTGAGTTCTTCAGATCTTGGGCTGCCCACCCTGTTAAAACAGATGAGCCCATCCGTGCCGCACGCCACGTTCCGTGCTAATCACGCTCTTCCGCCCGTGCCGCGCTGAGAAAGCGCTGAGAACGCGCTCCGGCCTGTGCCAAAGGCACCGGCATTGGGCATTTCCACCGAGGTGCTGGCGGAGATGCTTGGATAGCCGGTGCTCGTGGGCATCGCAGTCGGGCCGCTGAGACCCGAGATGCCCGCGCGGAGGAGGTTCGCGTTACCTGGCGAAGGGACGAAGTGGGTCGGGCGGAATGGCTCGATCGGAAGAATCCCAAAGCCCCGCCATGTACAATCTAATGCACATCCCATATAATGGATGCCCACGTGGACACCCCAATGTTATCATATTATCTAATAATTGACCATATGCCAGTTCCACGGAGTGACTCAACAAATGGAAATCAACAAGAACCTTATTAACCACTCCTACCTGCCGGGTGGGTTGTTGGCCCCCTGTCAACCCACCTGAAACAATCCCCCCAGTACCTCACCGCCTACTTGGCAGTGCCACCTCACCGGAACAAACGCTAGAGGTCTCCGAAGATGCCCCTGGCGGTCCTCGCGTGTGTCATTCGAGCCGATCGGTCGTGTCACCGTGTCACCTGAACCTACCTTCATCCAGAAAAAACAGCTAGAAAGTGGGTATCTGGCACAACCCACCAGTTCCATTTCACTGACCAGCTTGCCAGTGCAATTGTTAGGGTTGACATGCAAGGGATTCAGAGGACATCACAGAGCAAGTAAATACATATGTGTGACACATTGTTGGGTCCCTCTTTTCCTTCTGGCAAGTGTACCATGAAAATGTCTCTCTCTTCTGCTGATCAATTTTTTTCTTCTCCGCATGACATACCCATGTCACGCTTTCCTCCTCCAGTCGGGTGCCCTAAACCTGGTCCCGACCGGTGTCATCCGCCCGGTCACACCTCGCAGGCGCGGGAAGCTGGGCGCCGGCATCTCCGTGGTGAGGCTGGCGAGAAAGTCATCGCGCGTGTTGCCACGCCTCCGTCGAGGGCCGATGGGCGTGAGGATGAAACGATTAGCACGGAAAGCACGGTGAAGCAATCCAGAAAGGCTTTAAAGCCGGCAACACATATCCACATAAAGAAAAATAAATACTGTAACATCTTTTGGGCCAACGACACATTTCATATATTAGTTGTATTGCATGGCCTTTTGTTTCTATTTTGTTCAATTCGAGGGATCCATGCCAGCCTTTCCATGGGCCTTTTCTCCCTCTCATGTTGAGACATTCTTCGCGGCCGATGGTGCATCCATGTGACATGTCACAGACAAAAAGAGCCCCAATCCAAAAGCCAACGTTCCCAAGCCCCCCAAAAGCACCCAATCACACAAAAGCCGCCGGTAACCCCCTCACAATATCTCAAGAACCCACTCGCGAAGCGCACACATACGTGGCCCACTATACACGACCCCTAACGCAAAGAACAAAAGGAAACACACACACAC